TTCTAGCTGCAACTGGCTGTTGTTGCTGAAAGCTGCTCTTGCCTCGGATCCCATTTTTAAAACAAAGTGTTTCTTGATTTCACAGGTGTGTAAGTGTCTCCTTCACAAACACTGCAACCTGTCAGGCTGAGAAGGCTTTTCCTGGTTGTTTGTGCACATTGTGGATAAAGCTCCTTTGATGGTAAACTGATGGGACATGAGTGTGTAAGACAAGCTGCCACTGACCTTTTGTTATGGAAGGGCGTACATGTTTCAGCAGGACAAGCTGCCACAGTGGCACGCTGTGTCTATTAAAACAGCAAGGCTTTATAATAAAAGACGTCTGTGCATTGGCTGCCTGAACAGCTTTTCTCTCCCAAAAGTCCAGCAACGAGTTTCCGATGTTCCCAGACATTTATGGGCTCATTTTGGTACAATTCTCACAGCAGAAAAACCACTCATGTTGCAGTTTTCTCTGCAACTCACAGACTCAACTGTGCAAAAGACACAGCAGCAATCGAAAGCTTCACCACACATGTCAAAACATGAGGCAGTCAGTCCCTTCAACTGATGAATGATTGAAAACCTTTCACAACCATAACTAAGACGTTGAAATGATTTTTACTTTTTCAGAAGCATCACTCTTTTCTGTAGCCATTTCATTATACAATCACTCAATATTTAATAGTATTTATCGATGATAAGAACAGGAATGATTTTATCTTTTATAAATATTAATCAACTTTGTTAGTATCCCAGTAAAGCCAAAGCACTTTATCTCAACAGTTTTGCAATAAATCCTTGTAAACTCTAATTAGGAGTGATGATGATGACGTCCAGAGATTTTATATATTTTTATATGATGTATTTTTCAGCAACAGCTGTAACTGTGAGTTCCTCCATTCAGTTAGTTGGTCAAACTGCTTTCTGTATAAACGTGAATATCATAATCATATATGGTGACTCTCACTGATATCTACAGTATATGTGTTTGGACATGGTTTCATGGTGAGGATGGCACAAACATATACAGCTGGGTGAAAAAATAGAGTTACATTAAAGGTGGAGTAGGATTATAATGATATAATAAAGTGTTGTTATTATAATATTTATTAGAATTAAACTGTTTTTAGTTATTCATGTAATATGTACAAGTTAGTATTCCATTTGTATTTGTGTGGAGCTTTAAATACTATAAAACTAGTGTCACTAAAAAAAGAAAAAACACTTATTACTTATTAGTCTGCTTGAGTTGCTTGCTCATCTTTTCCCCACCTGCAGCTTTAATTGTAAATTGGCTTTTATCACTAAACCCTGTCAGTTGTGATCACATGGTACTCATTATGTTTATTACTGGCAATCTTAAAACGGACCAACATGGACTGAAGCGTTTTTCTGAAGCATTTACTGATTCCTAACAGCTCACTAAACAACAGCTCGCTATATAGGAATCAGTTCATTCACCATTTATCATAATGCAAGTACAGTGATGCATGGTTGGTTGACATACAAATGCACAGAACCTCAACCCCATCACTGTTGGGGTGAACTAGAATGGAGATTGTGACACAGGTCCTCTCTTCCACCATCAGTGGCTGATCTCAGAACTGCAATAGAGATTGAAAATGTGACGTCATTCAGGGTAAAACCGCAAAGAATTCTGGGAACTCGTGGCAAGAGGTACTAGCGCACGCAGGCTTTCAATTGAAATCAGT